GAACCACGACTGTATGTCCGGTTGTGTCGAACTGACTCGGTTCTATCCCGATGGGACCCGCCAATCACCTGTCCAGATAAAGTATCCGGATCAGATATGTTTGGTGGGATACCATCTGAGTAAAAGGTCGGCGAGTTCGGCACGCAGATACCAGCAGCAAAGCTGAAAACGTTCATCCAGTGAATTTGAGGATCACTTTTCTGATATTTGGGTGCCTTGGTGACATTAAAGCGGATATACTTAGGTGCCTGACCACGTACTACTATAGGTTATCTGTTATGACAGATCTGATAGACATCCCCGGACCGAGTGCGCATATTTTGAGACACAATTACTTCTATTATAGCGAAGATAGTATCAATATATGCTGAAATTTATATCCGTGCACTAGAGATCTACACAGGTTAAGAAAACGTAACCCGAACCCGACTTGACTCGATAAACTTTTATTCTTTTGTTTTGTTCTTAAGTTTGTGTCTTTTTATTTACCTATTTATTTAGTGGAGGGCATCGCATTACAGGCGAGTGGCCTTTTGCTAATAGTCTGTTATTCTTACAGAAAATTTGAGCGTTATATCTTTCTAAATTTCCTTGTTATTGAACTTTGCTTCTTGAATGAGAATAGTGTTTTCCTAAAACAAGAGAACATCCATAATGAACATATACTGTAGTGCTCAGTGTACTGAAAACTAAAGCACCTAACGGAGTTGAGCATCTGCAGACCTTGCCTCGTTAGTAAATGCAGTTGTTCTGGAATAAGTATTTCAACTGAAAATTCAGTAGAGTTAACTTTTCAACGAGTAATACAAACCTGAAATTATTATCTATACTTTAAATTGCGCCGCAAAATGTTCAGCCCGAAGCCGATCCGACCCTAAGATCGGGTCAAACCCTAGCGAATTGAGATCTTATACAAGTACTTGTACAAGTGCCTGGAGTTTTTTGCAAGTAAGAAAGGCACTTATCAGGTAAATTAAGGGATACAAATACTTACTTAGCTTGACAAGTACTTAAGGAAGTAAGTACAAGCGCAATTAATGTGATAAGTACTTGCAGGGTATCTGCAAGTGCTTCAGGTAGTTTCTAGATACTTGGCAAGTACCCGTCGCATTCTTCTCTCCAAGTACTTGAAGAGCTAGGCAATTGCTTATTTAGTAAAGTTACCATTGTGAGTTAAAATGTGGATCCCCTCTCAATAGTTAGGTCTTGCGTCACGACAATCAGGGTCTTAATTGAAGAAAACTGACTGATGTCTGCATCTCCAATTAAGTATAACAAGTTAATCTATTTTTTTAAAAAGTTTCTGGCGTATAATATCACAAAAAAATGACCCAAAACGACAAAATTTAGTCATCTAAGTGATACGAAGAAAGAGAGCAAATAAAAGTAAAGCTGTATATAGCCTACCTCAGGAAAAGTAAAACGATGGAGAACAATCAACAACAAAATGTATAACAGAATGAATCATGCAAAAAGAAAAAACGAAGAGTGGTGACGATTCAGGGAGTGTAGTTAAATGATAAGATCTATATCAAAATTTTCTCTATTACTCCCTGTTAGATGTCCTATTTCGACAAGCACTGTTTTAGCGCGAGAGAGGGATAACTCACTTTCTCTGTATTCACTTGTTACGTAAAATGGAAGAAGATATGATGAAAGTTTTATCCTGAAACTGCAGCCCGAAGCTAGTTAGAACATTGACACTAAATGTCATGGTCCTGGGTTCGACTAGGTCCTGCGTTCGACTCTTAGTCGAGGCATAACTTCTTTCGTTCAACTTTAACATCATTTCCCGATTTAATAGAGATAGATTATAACAGCACTTTGCGAAAGAAGCACTTGACAAGTACTTTACTAAGTCCTATCACAAGTACAGCAGATATTTATCAAATCGGAAGATACTTAAGAATTTCCATTAGTACTGAAGGAAATACTTCTGAAGTACTGATTGGGTGTGGACGAATAGAGCCGACGCTCTGTGTGTGAGCGAAACAGACGAATCGTGCGCGTAGCTAGAGCACGCTCGATCGCATGTCATTCTTAAATTAAATAAATTCTCTAATGTTTAAACAATTGTTTACTTCCATTATTCCATTGTTTGTAAACAAAAAATGGAAGGGTGGAAGTTCAGCACGGAAATTTCGATAAACAATTTGTTCGTCAAATTTACGAAGTTCAGTTGCTATACCATCAGTTTTACAACTATGTTCAGTAGCAAGTTTCACAATATTGTTCGTAATAATACATTTATGAAGACGAGAGTGACAATTTTGAGAAAAATAATTAATACAGCGCCAATATGTTTTTTCATTCATAGAGCGATCTTTTATATATGAGAAACCGTGTATATTCAGCGTGCTTTTTGTTTCGTAGTATCGTTAATTGATATTGTAGCCCATTTGAGCAAGTGAAATATTTTATGGTAATAACAGAAATGTTACTTCATTTATTTCTACTACTTCTACATCGGTAAGGGGACATCTATATCCCGATCAGAATGCTATATTCCGATTAGGATATAGAACAAAATTAATATCCCGATCGGAATATAAAACACAGAATTTCGTCGTAAAAACGATTAAGAGAAAAATGACGACCTTTTGCGGAAAAATTGGCATCGCCATTAGAAAGAGCTCGAAAAACTACACCGAATTCTGTTGTGTTTGATCAAAAGTGTATCAAGCGCCAGCAACTATTTTTTCGAATACAAATTTTTAACAAATTTTAGTCGAATTTATATCCCGATCGAGAACTGGGCGGTTAATCTTTTATTGCTCATAATGGGATACAGTCTTGATCTAATCGCTTCCCACATCGACCGTATATCAGTCGTGAAGCCAGCAATTCTGAGGATGCCAAGAGAACATCATTATTCCAGGCGTTGCGGCATTTTATACTCATATTACCTGGCACGGCAACAACCCTTTCAAACTAATTAGATTTGTTGACAAAATATGTTAATGTGGAAGTAAGAAATTACATTACCCAACAAAAATATTTAACCGTAATTGTTTGTTTTTATGTCCTCTGTGTATAAATCAAATAGACATAATCGATAAATAGATATAGTCAACGAATTATCATCATCATCACCTCCAAAACATACAAATTTTTGATATCCTGATTGAAATTTAAGGTGCAGCTAATTCAAAATTGCGGGAAGGTTTTTCTGACTTTCTTATACATATTCTGATTCGCCGCATCGAACTGATCTGAAATATCACCATCGCACCTCTGAAAAGCTCTTTCTTCATGGAGAAAAATGTGAAAAACTGTGAAGACCTAAAAAGCCTCAAAAACCGACCCCCATCATAAAAGTGATTTTCTTTTAAGTTGTATTGCAAGCTAGAAAATTCTAACTATATTTTTCTGATTCAGTGTCAAAAACTGATTTAGAAAACAGCTGTCTAGATCATCCTAGAGGTAACACGTCCGACATAGAAGTCCAAACCAGTACGTGTCAAAACGGAGTGATCCATTTTGTAACTCTATCTAATTTTTCATGTTACGAGCTATCGCATTGAGTCATACGCAAAAAGAATCATCCTGAAACAAGCTTTAAAAGTATGTGTGCCGATTTTTGAAATTCATCTTCCTTGCGGAGAAAAACGACGTTCTTTGGAACGAAGCGAAAAAAGGTCAGGTCATTTTCGACTAAGTCTCGACTTTTTCGTCTAAATTTAAGGGAAATGGCGTCAAATAGGCTAAAAACGATGCCTAATTCAATGAAAATATTTTTAAAGTTTTCCAACATCCTTCAAAGAGTTTTCCAGAGACCGGATCAGCAGAAAACCTTGTCAGCAGTCAGACTTTATGAAAATGGTCTAAAATGATACAGAATTGAATTCTGAATAAAGTGAGATGTTTTCGAGCCTTCTGCGGCTTCTCGGACAAGAGAAATGTCCAAAAAACTAAGAAAGATGTCGGGTTTTTAGTTTTCGGGCATTTCTTTTTGCTCTGAGGTCAATTCTGTATCATTTTAGACCATTTTCACAAAGTCTGACTGCTGATTCGGCCTCTGGAAAACTCTTTGAAGGATGTTGGAAAATTTTAAAAATATTTTCATTGGATTAGGCATCGTTTTTAGCCTATTTGACGCCATTTCCCTTAAATTTAAACGAAAAAATCGAGACTTAGTCGAAAATGACCTGACCTTTTTTCGCTTCGTTCCAAAGAAAGTCGTTTTTCTCCGCAAGGAAGACGAATCCAAGAATCTTTTAACAATAATTTTCCTCGATATCAACTATACAGGGTGATCCAAAATTACGCGATATTTTTTTTAGAAGAATTGTTGAAAAAAAAATATCGCATAATTTTGGGTCACCCTGTACAATTAGCCTAAAGGCAGCGCTTAACAATGTCTAGCACCTTCGACAGCTAAATATTTCCACACAAGGTACAACACATCCTATTGCGGCACATTATTTTTTTGTGTGTAGTATTTATGAGAAAACTGTTGGATTAGGTTTTACTCCTTTGAAGATGTGTAGACAACATTTTGTTATTGCAAGTCACAGTTAATAACCTTTTAACATGTTTGATGACATATACGTAAATCTCTTCTAATCAGGTTAAATTTTTGGATCTAATCGCTCTGATAGCAATGACTAAGTTCTCACGTTTTTGCTTACATTTAGGTTACTATGGTACATATTGTCAGTTTTCAACCGCTGGTTATACTTTATCATTAGATACTATTGTTGGGTCGCACATACAACCTAATATTAAAATAACCCAACAACCAGTTGTTACTAAATTGAGTATTATAGTTATATCAATCATGTTCACATTGGGTATCATAGGAAATTCCTTTTCAACGTTGACTTTCAAACAACCCAAAACTCGTGATTTGGGCTGTGGCTCTTCGGTTTATGCCCTATGTTCATATTCCTTGACAAATTTCTCTATTTAATGATTACACAAATCTTTCCACAATCAAATCGCACTCTTGTTCAATAATGTTTTTTCGAGTTTATGGGCAAAGTTAAGAATAAAAATTTTAAAACCAATGCGGCTATCATGTTAAGAATTTTAATAAAAAGTTTTAATCAAATAATAAAAATAATAAAAATTAAACAATTAAAACTAAAACATTAAAATTATAATTCGATATTTCGACCTATTAATACGGTCATTTTCAAGTTTCTCATCGTATAGGATGTTACATAATGTTTTTATTAAAATTCTTAACATGATAGCCGCATTGGTTTTAAAACTTTTACTCTTGTTCAAACTAACTATATTCTTATTGAATTTCTATTAAAATTTTTACCAACTATTGTTGACTAGCTTCATGCGTCCGTTCCCGTTGAACGTGCAATTAATGTTACATTAGGCATATAATTTGATAAAACGAAAAGAATATAGCTAAACGAGTTGTATTGTTGATAATTGTGTTTAATATCGTAACATCTGTACATGACCCTATCTATCGTCGTTTAATCGATGATTATGAAGAAAAACATTCATGGTGTACGCATTTAATCATTTCACTCGTCTTTATTTGTATGAAATCTGTGCGTGAACCGTATCTATTTTTATTCTCATATTTTTTGTCGTTTATGTCAGTTGTTTCAATATTTCTCATTTTTATTTTGCCATCAGAATTGTATAAAAAAGAATTTTTGACTGCTCTAAAACTCTGTCGTGATTAACATCAATTATGTAAAAACTGTTTTGCTTTTGATGTTGTGTGTTTATTGAAAATAAATTTATTTATTTTTTTTATATGAGTAATGTGAATAAATTTTCAAGAACAAAATTAATATGCACATGTTCAAAGAAACTTAGTTTACATCACTTTGGACAAGTAATTTAATCTGAACTAATTGGACAGTACAAATTAGTTTAAACTTATTTTATTGACAGTAATGTAAACTACTTTGAACGCACAAATGAATTTCTTTATCCAAATCAATACAAATCAGTAGAAGGATCTCAGTAGAGAATCTCAAACTAATTAAAATTAATTTCGGCTTTCTTTCTTTTCATGGGTATAGACGCGCTGCATAGTTAAAAGTATATCGCACGTTTTTTTGTTCTTTTTACGTTATATAAAATTCTAATCTACTAAAATGGCAGATAATAATGATCATTTTCTGTCACATGATTTTGATGTTGATAAAATCGTGAGTACTGTTGCAAAAAGTTTATTATCAAACGAAGAATTCGTGAAAAACTTGGTCTCATCTGTTGTAAACGATTTGAAAAATACGGTTAAAGAGGCAATATTTCCATTGCAAGATGCTAGTAAAAAACAGCAGATGGTTATGAATAATCATGAAATAATAATTAAAAGTTTAGAAACAGATGTATTCCATCAAAATTATTGATAAAAACCTTAGAAACAAATATAAATGAGCTTAAGAAATTAAGCTCTACCGTTATTAATTTAAATAAAAAATATAACCACATTGAACAATATAGCAGACGTGAAAATATACGTATTCACAGTTATCCTGAAACGAAGGAAGATGTTTTAGGCATTGTTATGGGATTGGCTAATGACATGCAGATCAATATTAATGAATACGATACTTCTGTTTGCCATCGCACTGGTAAATCTAAAGATGGGAAACCGCGTCAGTTAATTGTGAAGTTCTGTTCAAGATATGCTCGTGATTTATTTTTATCTGGAAATTCACAACTTTATGATGATGTATTTTTAACAAAAGATTTAACTACACAAAATCTGAAACTATTAATGGAATCTAAAAAATATTTAGGCCCCAGACATATAATCGTGCATAATGGAAAATTTTACAAACGAACACTCGGTGGTCAAACAAACATACATATAAAGTCATTGTTACATTTACAATCATTCTCAAAGTATGAATCATTAAGCACCCAATAACTAATCACTGTAACGTGATTCATCACTAATGGTAAGACTTTCATTTTCAGTTCTTTTTCAAAAAACCGTGTCATTTTACTTGTATACGGCATGGTTTGCTTATATGAACTGTCTAACGTACATGCACTATCTAAATACTCTATTCTTTTTCTTTCATACAACACACTTTTATATAATTTAAACATATTGGAAGAAACATTGGACAAGTTTATCAAGTCCTTTTTCTTTTTATTCTCGTCCGCTATTATATCTTCTTTCTTTCTTCTCGGATGTGTGAGGTTAAGTATGTGGCTGGCTGCGAGCGTGAGGTTTTTTCTTGCTATATCAACAATGTTATATAGTCAAAAAGTTAAACATCATTATGCTCCTGATTCGATTTTACTCTTGAATGCAGATAGTGTCTTAGGTAAAATTGATCCTGACTCAAATAGTCCACTAGCTCTTCGAAAATTTGATTTATTCCTAAACATTTTACAGTCAGATAGACCTTTGTTGCTGTAATAGAAACCTGGCTTAGTCGAAACATAGACAATTCAAGTTTATTAGCCATATGTTACCGTCCAGACTGCGTTGATCATGTAAATCTCAATGAACACCTTTCGTGTGTTCTTCATAAAGTTCGTTCTAATACACGCCGTCAATATGATTCTATCGTAATTATTGGTGACTTTAATGCTCATTCGTCTAAGTAGTGTCCCACTAAACCGTCAACTATTGAAGGAGATGCTTTTTACGATTTCTCGCTCATTGAAGGCCTTACTCAACTTGTTAATCAGCCCACACGAATTAAATCTAAATCTTTTCTTGATCTAATTCTAACTAACAATTCTTCTTGCGTATCTAATGTAAACGTTGGTAGTTCACTCTGTCTGTCGTGCGATCATTCTATTATTCAGTTTTGTCTATTCTCACAAAGGTAAATTCGCTTTGAGTATAAACGTAGAATTTTTGACTATCAAAATACAGATTGGGATGTCTATCGAGATCAATTAGCTTTATGTTAAATGTGGTCCCGGAGTCCGTCTTTGTACCTGAATGGAGTTTTCACTTTTATTGAATACTTAACACTCTTCACACATATCATTAACATTCTGGCTAACTGCATGAAATTATACGAGTATTTATACCCGGGGAGAGAGAAAAATATTCCTTATTAAAATTCACAAACACATATAGAATAGACTGGGAAAAAACCAAATCTTTTAGAGCACACGGCATATGACTTCTGTTTACACATTATAGAGAGACAAGTCTGGAAAGAAAAATAATTTTATCTGACAATGTACAAAAGAATTTGAAAGGGATTTTTCCCTTTTACACATAAGAGAGATATAAATTTGACTGGATGAAGAAGGAAAAGAATCACTACTATTCATAACAAAATGTCAACACTTTCTTTGACCTTGCACAAAAGAATCTGAAAGGGAATTTTCCCTTTTTATACATAAGAGAGACGCCAATTCTAATGACTGGATAGAAAAGGAAAAGAAGCAATATTATCAACTAAAGTGTTAGGTAGTGACAAAATGTCACTACCTAACACTTTAGTTGACTGGTTTTCTGTAGTTCAACAGTACTCTTCGATTGATGATAAAATTAAGACCTTCACAGAAGTTTTTCTTCAAATTGCTGATGAATATATTATTCACAAAACTATCATCATCTCATCTCATCTCATGACGCACCGTGGTTTACTGAAAAACTACGTCTGTTAAATAAAACTAAGCAAGTATTATACAAAAAGTATGCTAAGTTTCACTCTTATGCTGATGAAGTACAATATAAGGCTGTAGCATCTGAGTTTGAGAAACATATGCGAGTGTCAAAGCTTCCTACTTTCCCCCGACTTTCGAATGAGGTTAAAAATTCATCGAAAAAATGATGGTCAAGTGTGAAGTATGCCTTAGGTAAAACTAAACAAAACTCTACTCCATCTCTTCTAGATCCTCTGACTGACAGTCTAGTTAGTCACCCCCAAGATAAGGCAGAAGTATTAAATCAGCATTTCTCAGCGATTTGTACACAAGGTACTCCTTCTAACTATCAATTTTCTATTCCCCTGTCTTCAGCAGTAAGCATGAAAGATTTTAAGTTTTATACATCGGAAGTATATGCTGTTTTATGTAAAGTCAACTCGAAAAAAGCAGTTGCTCCTGGAACTACTGGCAGAATGTTAGAGGAGGGCGCTTTTTACATTGCACCCGTGCTCACATCTCTGTTTAATCTCTCATTAGAAAAGCAACAATTTCCAACTGCATGGAAACTTGGCTATATTCTTCCTTTGTATAAATCAGGTGATATTCATCCCTCAACAAATTACAGACCTATTACTCTACTTTCTGCGGTTTCGAAAGCTTTTGAGCGACTCATCTTTAATCGTATTTTTCAGTTTCTACTCACTAATCAACTTATAAATGTAAATCAATCAGATTTTTGCCCAAACACTCAACAACAAGTCAGATTATTGATATAGTTCAAAATATTGTCTCAGCTTTCAATGAGGGGATTCTATTCTGGCTGTTTTTTATTGATTTTCAAAAGGCCTTTGACCGTGTCTCGCATGAGGCGCTGTTGATAAAGTTGAATAGTAAAGATTTATCTGTTCTATTAATAGAATGGTTCAGGAGCTGTCTTAGTGATAGGAGAATTATTACAATGATTGATGGATTTTTCTCTCAGGAGGCTAGTATAGGCTGTGGGGTGCCGCAAGGTTAAATATTAGGTTCACTTTTATTTTTATTGTT